ACATCAAACAGAGACTACCCGCCAGCCCATCTCCTAGGTTTGGCCATTTTCAAGGATTGAAGGTGCCCTGTTCCCTGCCCAACCACAGCCATCTCTCACAGGGAACCTAGGGTAGCCATGACAGTATCGGAGTGATCCACTTCCTTCCTTTTGGTGCTGGAGCCACTCACTCAATCCTAAGGGAGTTTTGGGGTCCCACCTCTCCTCATCTCCCTATGTCAATGTAGGGAGATTTACCTACCTAACCAGACCTTACCAATTAGTTGTATTTTCAGGGGTATCCCTTTCACCCATACATTTTTAGTTGTTGTAATCTGCCCTGTGCCCCTAATGGGAAGAGATTGTCTAGCTAAGGTAGGACCTTTTATTTTGTTTGCTCCTCCCATTTGACTTACCTCAGACTTGTCAGAAGCTCCTCTCCTCCTCCTCCTAGCCACCCATCCTACTAGCTCTAACATTTCATTTCCCTTGCCAGCCTCTCAGGTGGACCCCAAAGTCTGAGACACCCAGAACCCTTCTGTATTATCCAGTTGCAGGACCCTACCAGGTACGTTACTCAAGCTCAGTACCCTCTCTCACTCTAGATCCTTAGGGGACTTAAGCCTGGCATTTCTGAACTTCTCAGAAAAAAGCATGTTCCAGCTCCGCCCCCCCTTGCTAACACTAACCAATAAAATTCTGATAGCAGAGTACTAAACATTATAATATCATGACTACCAGCTCAAAATTTTAAATTCCCTGTGGCTGCTTCTTAATATGTTTAAAATTTTTTTCAAGCTCCAGAGCCAGCTTGAATCCACCTGGACAAGTCAGATCCACTTCAGATAAGTATAATTCAAACTTTTCTGATCCTGAGACCCTCCTCCCTCACCCTGGGACCCCATTGGACCCCAACCAAGGTAAAAAAAAAAATTCTAAACTCCCTCTTCTGCCTTGCCAGCACCTTGTCAGACCCAAACAGTCACAGAGCTTGAAGCAGTAGAAGTCAATGAACTTTTCCCAAAGCAGCAAAGGACAATCCACTACCTCAGGACATGTGGCTACTCCAAAAGCCCTCTTCCCTACCCCCAAAATTTAACTGATGCCAACCGAGTCAACTGGAAGCAGTTTCGGGAGACACAACGTCCCCATTCCCGTTTACCCACCATTATTTTTTATAAAAAAACGAAGAGTCTGGAATGTTAGATTGCCTAGCCACTCCCCCAGCTACATGACCACACGCACCTGGCAAGATGCTTAGTCATTCCAGGGCCTTGTACAATACGTAATCCATGCACTGTGTGATCTTGTAATTTGCATGAACATGTAATCTATGCACATGCATGGCATAGCTACTTAAGCCCATATGCACATATGCAGGCAGGGTTCCTATAAAAGTGGGTTCAACTTATTCCTCCCCTCTTCCTACACGGTCATTCCATAGGCCTATGCACATCTTTCTTATTCCCTTCCCTTAATAAACTCTTATATTGGGTTTTGTCATACCTCGTGGCTTTTCTCACATAGTAAACAGTGCAGCTTAATATTGCACCTAGTAATAAATAACACTAAGATTCTGAGGTGGATGTTACTCATGCTTTGTTGTATCAGGGCATGGAGGTTCATGTCTCTAATCTCAGCATTCCCAGAGTATAAACCTTGGGGGCCAACCTGGTCTACATCAATAATTCTATGCCTGAAAAAACTACCTAGTGAGATCATATCACAACTTAATAATAATAATAACAACATAATTATAATAGTATTAGTAATAATAATAATAAAGTCTGTTATTTAAATTAATGTTAAAGACAAACTTTCAATATCATTTATAAGACTAATAATGTGGTTACTGTGATTAAAAAGAAATTCATGAACCAGGCCTGATGTCATAGTCTATGGCTTTGATCACAGTAGTCTAAAGGCAGAGGCTGACTCAACTCTGGGAGTCTGAGTTAACTTGGTCCATAGAGCACCTTCTAAGAGAGTGACAAGTTGTCAAAAAGGAAAAAGAATTAAAGAAACAAAGAAAGCCTGGAGGTGGTGGCGCATGCCTTTAGTCCCAGCACTTGGGAGGCAGAGCCAGACGAATCTCTGTGAGTTCAAGGCCAGCCTGGGCTACCAAGTGAGTTCCAGGAAAGGCGCAAAGCTACACAGAGAAACCCTGTCTCGAAAAACAAAACAAACAAACAAACAAAAAAAAAAAAAACAAGAAAAAAAATGAAGAAAAATGCATGAACCAAATTACCACTTGAATTCCTGCTAAAATATTTCAGATGCCAAAGCTTTAGAGAATGAACTGGTCTTTCAGAGCTTTTCATCATCTTTAAGAAAGTGATTGTGATAGAATGGAGAAATGGTTCAGCAGTAAAAGGTGTTAGATACTTTTCCAGAAGACTGGCATCCAATTCACTGTATGCTCAAGGCAGTTGACAACAGTCGGTAACTCCAGTTATCCAGGGGACCCAACAGCCTCTTCTGGCTTCTAAGGGCACCATATGCTCATGGTGCACAGACCCACCTGTGTAACAGGGCCCAGGCGTTAGCAGGCTCCCATACCTAAGTACAACTGTCTCCATGATGGAAGTACCATTCAGGGTATAAAACGCAGCACTTGTGTAAAAAAACAGCAACCCCTGCCAAAAATAAAACAAAGGCTTAGTCCACCAAAGTCCATAGTTCTCAGAATACCTCTAAGTGTTCAAACCTTGCTTGAAATACAGTAACATTTTGGCTTCTGTGGTGCCACTTCTGCCTAACTGTTCTTGTTAACTGAAGTTTGTGAACCCAGAATATGGTTTTTGTGCTTAAAAGCTCACCCTGAGAAAGGCTGGTTGCTGCACTGGAATTCCGAACACCTCATGTAGTTCTGCCAGCTGGCTAATAGATTTTCTATTGTCTTAAATCCAGTTCAAGCACTATCTCATTCTCTCTCTCTCTCTCTCTCTCTCTCTCTCTCTCTCTCTCTCTCTGCCTCTGCCTGTGTGTTTGCATTTGTGTGTGTTTCTATGTCTTTCTATGTGTTTCTGTCAGTTTTGTTTTCTTTTAAGGACCAGTGGCTTTTTCTGGTATGAGGACACTCCTGCCGATTAAGATTTGTGCCTCTTCCTGTTGGGAACCTGAATCCTTTTGGCTGTGCCAAGTCCCCCAGAGAACCACCTACCCGAAATAAGAGTTCTACCTACCCCATTCCTGGAATGAGAGGTTATATGAACAGAGCCTGTAAATTGAGCCCCAGGTAGTTCTCAGTTTCCACATGGGAAGCTGCTCTCAATCTCCAGGAGCAAGTTCATGGGAGCTCTGGGCTGGCAAGGTAAAGCATTTGCTTTGCTAATGAGGGGTCTTGCAGGAATTGCCTACCTTCATTTCAAATAACACATTTGAGGGAAGCAGTACCTGCCACTCTGACCCTAAACCCACGTAGAGAATAGTCACTGGGGCTACTAGTTAGCCACCTGCGAAAGGATCCTAACTGAGGAACCAAAAATTCAGAGGTCAAAACCAGTTGATTGCCAGGCTGTGGTGGCACATGCCTTTAATCCCAGCACATGGGAAGCAGAGTCAGGCAGATCTCTGTGAGTTCAAGGCCAGCCTGGTCTACAGAGCGAGATCCAGAATGGGCACCAAAACTACACAGAGAAACCCTGTCTCAAAAAAAACAAACAGCAACAGCAACAACAACAACAACAAAAAAAAAACCAGTTGATTGATTTATCCTGTATTGAGGGGTGAGCAGCATTGGATCCAGACTTTCAGGAGAGCTAGGCTGGGAATTGCTGAGTAGATTGAATCACTGAAGTTATTTTCCTGTTCTCTAGGCTTAGTGAGTCCCTCCAAACATGATGAACTGGAGAAAGATAATAGATGTGGGGAGCATTTTACAAATCCCATTTCAAAGGGGAACGCTCTCAAAACCCATACTTCAGGAACTGTTGAATATATTCTTCTGGAAACCAGAATACTCTCACACTTTTAAGGCCCTGCAGAATAGCATGGAAGTTCAAAGTTTGAAGAGGACAGAACTCACAAGTTAAAAATGTAAAATACAAGGTATAGAGAAGCTGCATCTAAACAGTCAACATGACTGAATTGAGAAGTATTTAGGATCTGCATATAGCACAATAAACAAAATACACTTGTGATGGTTACTTTTGGTCTCCAACTTAATTAGACACAGAATAACAAAAATCCGAACATGGAGGGCAAACCTGTGAGAAAGTTTTTTTCTTAAATTGAAGTAGGTAAATCCACTTCGAATATGAATTTACAGATAGAAAGACAGGAACATTTAACCCTGATTTCAAGGCCTGAAGACACACACCTTTAATCCAGTCTTGAGTCTGGCAGACACACCCTAGATTGGGCCACACCCTTCTTGGGAGCATATAAAAGGACATGGAGGAAGGAAGCTCTTTCTCTTTGCCTGCTTGCCCTCACCTTGCAGCAAGTCCATTTCTTCCCTGATGTTAGAATTTTTCTTTGGAATCCCAGCATATACTGAAGACCAGCCAACACTTCCAACCTCCTGCACTGAGTAAGTACCTGATTCTTGGACTTTTTCTTCACGGCTAGCCAATGTGGGATTAATGGGACTGCAGCCTTAAGTCATTCTAATAAATCCACTTCCTTCATACCCAGAGAGATTCCGTGTACATGTGCTGCTACTTTGGAGAACTGAAGTACATTTTTGATATGAGTGTATAAAATGATCCAATTTTTCAAAAGTTGTATTTAATGGTCAAAACTAGTTACCTATTGAACTAAGATTCAATCTAGAAAAAAAATGGAGTGAGGTAACAGTCTCTAGTAGCCTAGACTGTCTTCTCTGAATCTACTATTGAAATCTGGATAGAAAATTTCAGAGACTCAAGTTTCCACACTCATAGAGGAAGGAACAGAGGAGAAACAGAAACTAAAAATCTAAATCTGTGTGTATTCTTCTGTCCCACAGGGTAGAGATAACACAATTGCTAGTTCCTCATTTTGGATTCAGTTGAACCTTCAAACTACCTCCAGGAGAAATGTCAGAGGACAGGATAGCCCAGAGCTAGGATTACACACAGATCACCATCCAGAATTTCTCCTACAGGTGGACCATCAGCAGCTTTTGTTTTATTCTGGAGGAAATTCGGGAACACATTAGAAGCCCAACTTTCTTAATAAGTGCCTATGACAAATGGTGTTTGAGAGTAAACCCAAAGGGAGTGGATGAAGGAAGTGTAAATTACCTGTCAGTTTACCTAGTGTTGCTCAGCTGTCTAAAGAGTCATATTTGGGCAAAGTCTTAAACACTGAAGGAAAGGAAATCCAAGGTGGGGGAGCCAGAAGGGCTTTAGGTTCTTGCCATGCTGGCACTGGGGATTCAAAAAGTTCATCCTTTTAAATTTCCTCTTATCCCATGCTTCTTTGGTTCTCGCAGATGATGGGTTCATCCTTCTCTGCAAGGTGAGCGAGGTCCAGGACTCCTTCAGCCTCTCTGACCAGAACACAATGGCAGGGATGCAGGTTCCAAGCTGCACATTGGCAGATGAGCTAGGAGAGCTGTGGGAAAATTCCCGATTCACAGACTGCTGCCTGGTGGTATCTGGCCAGGAATTTCAGGCTCACAAGGCCATCTTAGCAGCTCACTCTCCAGTTTTCAGAGCCATGTTTCAACATGACATGAAGGAGAGCAAAAGTAGTCGCGTCGAGATCCATGACCTGGAGCCGCAAGTCATTAAGACAATGATGGACTTCATTTACACCGGAAAGGCACCAGACCTGGAAAGCATGGCAGATGTTCTGCTGGCAGCTGCTGACAAGTATGGCCTGGAGCGTTTGAAGGTCATGTGTGAGGATGCCCTCTGCAGGGACCTCTCTGTGGAGAATGCTGCCCACACTCTCTTCCTGGCTGACCTCCACAGCTCATGGCAGCTGAAAACCCTGGCACTGGATTTCATTACAGCTCATGTTTCTGAGGTCTCTGAGACCTTAGGCTGGAAGATAATGGAGGGCTCATACCCCCACTTGGTGGCTGAAGCTTATGGCTCCCTGTCTTCTGCACAGGATACTTTCCTGGAGCCCCCACTCAAACGCATGAAGCGATCCTAGAACCTGGTCAGCTATGACCTCTACTTGTCTCCAAGAAGCAGTCAGTATAGACTACCAATGACACCTGGGTAGACTATGGGATTTTTGGAGTATTTTCAGTGAAAGTAGGGAAAGACAGATGGTGGTTCAGGATTTAATACACCTGTTAATGTGTTGAATGGCCGATTAGAGAGAGGTAGAGACTGGACTCTGGTATACTTTGTGGTTTGTTAATTTGTCTCATGAGTTGGAAACTGCTATTCAATTTAGTTGCTGGCCCCATGGACATCCCAAGAGGGCTTCTTTGGAGAAACCTGTCTGGATTGGACTGAGAAGAACATATGACCAAGGGCTCAGCAAAGGACCAAACAAAAATGAATGTTTGCTTACAAGAGAAGTAGAAGAGAATGAAGACTTTTTCTCAAAACTCTGTGTGTGGGACTGGAGAGATGAGTCAGTAGCAATAGCAATTATTGCTCTTGCAGAAGACCCTTTTTTCAGTCCTCCTCTTGTCTCCATGGGCACATCCATCTCTGTAGACAGTACCTACCCAAATAAAATATCAAATGAATAAAAATTTTAAAATCAGTTAGTGGATTCTGGTGGTGTTTCTGTTTGAAGAATCCTATTTTAGTCTATCCAGCTCTGCTCAGCTGTGGAAGTTTGTGCTGAGTCCTTACTCCTACACACACACAAAATTCAGTGAAATGATCCCTAATGAAATTCTGTTATACTCATAGTTTGATGCCTAGCCCAATTGACATCAGTTAGGCTTTCTCCAGCATCTGATGAGAGCAGATACTGAGGTCCACAGCCAAACATTAGATAGAGCTCAGGGAACCTCAAGTAAGAGAAGGCAGGATTGGAGGGTGAATCAAAGATATCATGTAAAAGGAGCACAGAGATTCAACTAAACAGGGTCCATGGAGGTTCACAGAGACTGAAGAGGCAATCACAGAGCCTGCTGGGTCTGTTCTAAGTCCTTGTGTACACACTGTGCTTGTTTAGCTCAGGGGTTTTGTGGGAGTCCTAGCAGCAGGAGTATGGGGAGTCTCTGAACTGTTTGTCTGATCTTGCAACCTTTTGTTCCTTCTGGGTTGGCTCCTCCAGCCCTGATAAGAGGGTTTGTGCCTACTATTATTACATTTTGTTATCTTGTGTTCATTTGATATGCCCAGGAGACCTGTGCTTTTCTGAAGGGAAACAGAGGAGTAGTGCATATATGTGGAGTGGAAGGAGGGGAGACTATGTTCAGATGGGATTGTATGAGAGAAGAAAAAATAAAAACACAAAAAAGAAAGAAATATTAGAAAGACATTTTGGAAGAAGTATTTGGACAGATCTGCAAAGGAGCAAAGAATGTGAAGATCTGTTTGTCCCCTGTAAATGTCCACAAAATTTGTCTTCACTTTTAACCTGATTACAGTTGCTGCTAAATGCCAGATCTGCCCAGAGGTATCACCATTTTCTCAGCCTGGCCACCCAACTACTTCATGACAGAATGACTACATTGGGCCACTTCCTCTGTGGAATGGACAACATGGGATAGGATTTACCAGGAAGTATTTTTCTCCATAGCCCTGACTTGGATGTAGGCACCAGGTGTTAGAAAAGGAAATAGAAAAGAAACCAATCAATCACTATCACCCCTAGTGACATCTTGGGAAAAAAATTGTTATCTGTTTCCACGATTTTAAGTTTTTCTGGCCTAGAAGTTTTGATTCCAGTGTGAGTGGTCAGGTGGGGGCAGTGCTCCTGTTTGGAGCCAGAACAAACAGTTCATTGACCTGGAAGCTCAGACTTCTCCCAAGCCACTTTGAGCTCCTGATGTCCTTAATCCAACAGGCCAAGAAGGAAATAAGTGGGACCTATTCTTTCTGATTTTGTTTATCTTAGTGGTTAGATGCATCTGTAAGAGTGTTTCCAAGTAGAATTATCTGAGATGCAAGGGAAAGATCAGCACTGTAGTGTGCTGAGTCATCCAGGTACTGTGGATCTGAATGGAATAAAAGGCAGCAAAGAAGAGACTCACCTTCAGGGGTTCCTGGCTCTGTTTCCCACTCATCATGTATGAGCTCTTCACCTGTCATCCATATCGTAAAAACTAAGACCACTGACAAGTTAAGGAAAACAAGGAAAAGTGACTACTGAACTTTGCCAAGACAGGGTAAGATTGTCTTTAAAAATTCCTGCTTCTGAAAATGGTCTGTCAGATATTCTAGGTCTGTAGACAAATTGCATGCCACAACAATGCCAAGGAACTTTAGGTGACTGTCCAGGCTGCCAACTGTCTCTGTCTATTCTCACAAGAATTTCAGAAAATGCTTGCTTGCATTTTTTTTGTTTTCTCTGGTATTATAATGTTTCTTCTCTGGTCTTTGATAGAGTTGAAGACTAGACAGTTAAGGTTAAAATCTTCTCATATCATAGCTATAACATATTAGTACTCAAGTTAGAATCTTCAAGACAGGACAGCTATAGGAGTAATCTCTGTAATTTGGCATTTACCCATGTTCTGGACATTTAGCATGTCTTTCTTGCTTGATATTATTCTTGTTGGTTGTAATTCCAGTTTTGTTTATATTATTACTCTTTGTTTTTCCTGAACAATACTTGATAATCATACTTATTGTATATAGTTTACATTAAGATTTGAACCTTTTTATTTAGACTTTAAAGGTTAAATTATATCAGGATTGAATTATACAGTTACAGAGAGACAGCCTGTTTTCTTTTTTGTTTTTTGTTTTTCAAGACAGGGTTTCTCTGTGTAGCTTTGCGCCTTTCCTGGAACTCACTTGGTAGTCCAGGCTGGCCTTGAACTCACAGAGATCTGCCTGGCTCTGCCTCCCGAGTGCTGGGATTAAAGGCGTGTGCCACCACCGCCCGGCTCAACAGCCTGTTTTCAAACAAGCAACCTTACAGGTACTGCCAAATGCTCATGTGAAAGCTAAGTGGACTCCAAGGGAAATGTTAGATTTAAGGAGATTTAAAGAAGCTATAGTATCATACGGCATGCATTTTCCACTTATAAAGCAGATGTTAAATTTGTGGTCAACTTGTAATAAATATAGCCCTCAGGACTAGAAAGAATTAATTATAGCTGTTCTAGAGGCCAGTCCACAGTTACAATGGAAAACCTGGTTTAAAGAGGAGGCTAAAACAATAGAACAATGATGCAGGGCTACAGATGTGGAAATTAACCAGGATCAGCTTCTTGGAGAGGGCAATTATGCTGATATACAAAGACAATCTTTATATGATAACCAAACCCTAATTCTATGCCACATGGCAGCCATGAATGCATGGGGCAGAAATGAGGAAGCAAAAAAAAAAAAAATTTGAGTCATTTACCAAAGATATACAAGGCCCCAAAGAATCCTTCACAGATTTCTTACAAAGGTTGTCTTCAGCAGTAAATAGAATGATGCCAGTTCTGAAGCTAGACAGATAATAATTGAATGTTTGGCTTTTGAGAACATGAATGCAGCATGCAAAAGATAATTAGGCTATTAAAGTCAAGATCAGTATGCTTGGAGGTTTGGAACAGGGACACAATTAATATTGAGTCCCATGAACATGATGATATGTGGATAGGAGGGTGATGTCAAAAGCTTTGAGGAAAAGTAATAATGTCAGAAGTTTTAAATGTGGTAAACAAGGTCATTTGAAAAGAGAGTGTAAACAAGGCATTCCTAGAAACAATGTTTTCAAGGAACAATGGCAAGAGACTGCCCATACCTTCTGAATTATGCAGAAGGTGTAGTAAGGGTAAACATGGGACAAAGGAATGTAGATGAGTAAGGGTCAGAGGAGGTAATCCTTTGCCTCTGCTATTGGGAAACTCCCTGGGAGGACTCATGCAGGCCCCATGGCAAATTCAGCTCAGACCTTTCCTGCCATTGTAGAAGAAACCACTTCTCAGAGCAATTAAATAACCAAATGCAATAGATAACACCACAGCAGTAAACCCCAAATAGGAGAAGTACACACATACTACCACCAAAAGATAACAGGAATGAACAATCACTGGTCATTAATATCCCTTAATATCAATGGAATAATTCACCTCTAAAAAGACACAGGCTAACAGAATGGATACAAAAGTAGGACCCTTCTTTCTGCTGCATACAAAAAACACGTCTCAAATTCAAAGATAGACACTAACTAAGAATAAAAGGCTGGGAAAAGATTTTCCAATCAAACGGTCTTAAGAAGCAAGCGGGTGTAGCCATCCCTAATATCCAGCAAAATAGATTCAAACTAAAATCAATCAAAAGAGATCAAGAAGGGCATTGCATACTCATCACAGGAAAGATCCACCAAGATGAAGTTTCATTTCTGAACACTTATGCCCCAAACACAAGGGCACCCACATATGTAAAAGAAACATTACTAAAGCTTAAACCACATATAAAACCCCAAACATTAATAGTGGGAGACTTCAACACCCAACTTTCACCACTGGGCAGATCTACAAAATTGAAACTAAAGAGAGAAATAAAGGACTTAACTGATGTTATGACACAAATGGACTTAATAGATATCTACAGAACATTCTATCCTAACAAAAAAGAATATACCTTTTTCTCAACACCCCATGGAACCTTTCTAAAATTGACCACATACTTGGCCACAAAGCAAATCTCAACAGATACAAAACAATTGGAATAACCTCCTGCTTTCTATAAGACCACCATGGTTTAAAGTTAGATTTCAACAACAAAAAAAAACTACAGAAAGCCTAAAATCTCATGGAAACTGAAAAATGCTCAACTAAATCACCAATGGGTTAAGGAAGAAATAAGAGACTTCCTAGAGATCAACGAAAATGAATATACCACATGCCCAAACTTATGGGACACTATGAAAGCAGTGCTAAGAGGAAAATTCAGGGCACTAAATGCCCACATAAAGAAACTGGAGAAATCTCACACTAGTGACTTAACAGCACACCTGAAAGCTCTAGAACAAGAAGAAGCAAACTAACCCAGGAGGAATAGAAGCCAGGAAATAATCAA